TGTCTGAAAAACAGAAAGGAAAAGTTTGAAAGTAGAGATGACATCTTTAATTAGGCCACAGGTGAAATAGTTATATCTCTGCAGTGGGAGGTGGCAGAGGAAAAACAAGTAAGGTTTCGTTTCGTGTATGAGACTGAACCGGTAAGCTTCAGACTAACACCCATTGCCCTAAGAATATAGTTCTTCATTATAATTGTTCAAGAGGCAAAGCTCTGTAAGAAGTTTCCCCTTTTCTCCAGCTTCTTGTTCCTAGCTTTTGTGGCACGATTTGTCACATGCAGCTGTGCCTCTGCCAAATACAGAGGGGAGAGGGGTTTGCTTTGCCTTTTTTTTTTTTTTTAAATAAAGGACCTTTACTGATTTTTTTACAGCACCACAAAACAGCTGTATCAATGCAGCAAATGTGCACAGTTAACTGCAACATCCGTCTGGGATCATGAAGCCAAGACGACAGACAGGGAAAGCTGCATATCACAGCTAAGCCACTCTGGCCTATCATTGTCACCAAAAGGGGGAGATCCTGCCTTTGACAGTCACCAGGTCATTTATCAAGCCAACTCTCTCACAGAACAGAAAATTTATCAGCAATCCAGCGTAGTTTCAGAACACAAGAATGACACACTCGCACTTCCCTAGTGCTCTCACCCGAGATCAGGAGGGGGAAATTTCAGGAAGAACTGGACTTGTGTCTTTGTGCTCAACGGTCTTTGCTTCAATTTTTTTTTCTCATGAATTTGCCTAACCATTTTTTAATTATATACACTTTTAACAATCACAAAACATCCCGAGACAAAGTCCACGGTTTAATTATGTCCATGCCCTTTTATTTCTTCAGAACCTGTCTCCTGATAATTTAAGCCAAAGTCCCACATTTAAGCCGAAGTCCACAGTCCCTGTAACATAACAGACTGTAAATCATTCTTCCTGTTGTTCATGAACGTACAAATCTAACCATATCTTTTTCCTCTCCCCAGCTGTCTTTCTAGACTGAAACGTTTGCATCTATTTATCCATTTGTCATGAAAGAGTCGTTTGCAACTTCATCACCCTTGCTGCTATCCTCTACTTTTTTCTAGTTCTGCCATGCCATTTTGAGACAGAAAGGCCAGAACAAAACACAATATTCAAGATCAGTTTGCAACT